CCTCTCATTATTAAGCTAGTCTTAATAGCTTTGTTTTTTTTTACTTCAGTGTAATTGCAAGATGAAAATTTTAAAATCAGCACAGTCAGAACCAATAAACTCAAAATATATCACATTTAATAATAGGTACTTTAGAGAATCCATGTGAGATTTTGATAATTGTATTTTGTGTGTAATACAAAGTATTAGAAATTAGGTATTTGTTAAGTACTTGCAGTAAGGTCATAACATTAGGATATATCAGTAATTGTTGTTGTTAGTAGCCTATATTAATCTAAATTTATACTAAAAAAACCTGCATTACAAGATGCATAAAAGAAATTTAGTGTTTCATGTTTTGTGTAAATTATTCTATTTTTAAGAATTTCACACCTGAACATATAATCAACTGTATCTGTTATTGCATGAGTAAAATGCATAATATTCTATGTCACTCTAGATATTTTATGTTTAAAAACAGAATTCGTTTATCTATGATAATGTTTAGTTCATCTTTGTAATGTATTAATTTTTTTATATAATATTTTATCAATATTTGTTATAGAGTAGGAATTTTAATTTTTTACTTATACTATAGTGTAATTCTGGTGTCATTTTCATGTTATGAAAACACGTCTTAGTCATATGTGCACATCTTACAGATCAAGATGTGCAGTAACAACTTGAAACATCATACAAAACTTCTGAGGCAGATCTGATTTACAGAAGTCTCTAATGAAATAGTCCTCTCTGCCTAAACTTCCATTTTTAACCAATTCACTGCAGCTGGTACATATATGACCTCTTAACCTTTTTTTCTTTTCACTGCAGCTGGTGCACATATGGATTCTTGCTTTTAAAATTCCCATGCAAGGTGTTGAATTGTAAATATTGTCCATCAACATTCTACTACATGTTGCCAGAGAATAAGGCAATTATATCTGCCTCCTATATGTCAGTTTCCCTCAAGATGTCGGAGAGGGACACACAACAGAATTGTGCTGCCGAAACTGGAGAAAATACAGATTGTTTTATCGATTTACTAGATAGCATCAACTCTGAGTTGACGGTGAACAGAAAACAACATTTAGAGATATATATGTACCAGCCACAGTGAATGGATTAACTTCAGCCAAACACTTGTGCCTTTAATCTTTTATCAGTAGTTACACATTTGTTTTTTGTATTCATTTTGGCAGTGCTCATTCCAAGTGTGTTACTTGTTATTTAAATTAATTTTAACAGTATCACTATGATTGTCCATACTTTGTATAGTATGAAAAATGTTCTCAACAAAATTGTCCTTAATATTTTAAGTAATCCAAGTATTTATTGTGTGGGTCTTCAATGAATTTTACACCAAAGATGAGCGATATCACTTAAATTATTTTGATCAGTTATTCACCCCGAGTGTTTTAACAATCAGAATCACAATATTAATCAATATATAGATCCCATCAGTAGTAAGTGCTGTAAAAACAAGTCAGTAACTTGAGAATTAATATATATTTCTTAAACTGACATTTTTTTACTTATTTTAGTTTTTGTGTCGTCATGTCCCTACAAACAAAAGTTTGGTCTTTGTTGAATGTCCTGCTCCGAGTTCCTCCCGTTTTTATTATGGATGCCTTACTGAATGCTCGCTTGGGACTTTCACCTTACAAACCTGAAAAAGATGACTACCAGGGGATGGTATCTGACAACTCGGCAGAAGATCAAGATGTCATTGATAACGATGGATCTGTATTGACTTGGTTTTTCCTTTATTCTTCAGGTAACTAGAAACCGTCTTGTGTGCACTTTGTGTTAAAAGGTCCTCAAAAATGTTTTTATATAAACATTTATGCAGTGATTATTAGTGCATCATAATTCATTTCTGCTAGGTTTGTTTGGAAGCCTTTTCTAAGTAACATTTGATAATTTTGCACTCAATATTCAATTAGACTTGCATAGCTTATAGAATTAAAAAAAAACAGCATGATTGTAATAAGATGATTGTTTATTATGTCACCATTCAGTTCTTATAATAAAAACAGAAGGAAAATTAAAAACCTGTCTAGCTACTTTTGTGTTTATGTTTAACTTGACAAAAACACAAATACTAAAGCTGAAATATCAATAGCTTGACTTTGTAATTTCTGATACAAATTTAAATAATCTTACTCTTCTCGTATATTACATATGCATATTATCGTTTTTTTTTCTACTTTTATGTGTGTTTGTGTGTGTATAAAACTATTCATACTTTCTGTAACGGTACTTTGAAGTATATATCAAAAATTAATGGCCTTCAAGATCATTTATGTATAACTATTGGCTCTATTTATGATCCTGAATGTCTTTTTCTTTTTAACTGAATAAACATATCACTGTTTTTTTTTGTGGCTTTATTATTTTGATATTTATTTAGTTGAGTACAAACAATAAATTGGCTCATTTTTGAAACTTTGGACTACATTAAGGAAGAAAATAAAATTTCTTTCTGTATAACTTAATATTTAAAAAAATGAATATATATATATATTTCTTGGTAAGATGTAGGATTTGAAAGTCTAGTTTAACAAACATTAAATTAGTTTGAAATCTGAGTTTTTGATATTATATTCCTGACAACTTTTCAAGCTTTTGCATTATTCTATTTTATTTTTGTAGGTTTCTGTGCTGCATTTTTCATGTTTCTTCTGAACACCAAGCAATTGCTCTCAGTTTACTTATGGTTAGCATCGATTGGAGTCATCTTGTGGTCATACATTGGCAATGAAGAGTACATGAAGTATGCAATTGGTCTCAGAGAAAAAAGCAGTAATGTTGGTTATGAACTTTTAATCTTAAACCTTCAGGCTTTTCTGAAGTTTGGTGGAAACTACTTGCTGCAAGTTTTTTTGGCCATGGTATTCTGCTTCTCTAATAGCTCTTTTCAGAATATCCCACCTAAAAGAATAGTTGGACTGTCCTTCATAGGACCTACAATAATCAGTCTCTTACCTTTCCCTGCGTCTGTTCTGCAATGCACGCCACTGTTTTCATCTGCTGTAGCATTTTTCTACATTTTCATATCCTTGTTGAGTCACGGAAGACTGATCATTGAAGCTCTCATCAGTGGGTTTCAGTGGTGTAATGACGTGATCAAACATTACGGCTTATACATGTTGCTCGAGAACCAGTGGTTAAGATTGCAAGTTCCGCAGGTTTTAAGAGTCTTCTGGCTAACCAGGGTAACAGAACAAGCAGTGTTACTCTTGGCAGACACTTTCCACGGGACTAATGCCACTGGTGGTGTGCTTAGCATGTTATTTGACAATTCCTACATCATTACAAAAGAGCTGCTGATTCGAGGATGTGAAACCCTTGTGGCAGTTCTAGGAATGACAAGTGTGGTTTCTTCTCTTTCTCATTATATTGGATACAGCATGCAGTGTTTCTTACATCTCGAAGATCCAGAAGATAGGAGTATTGGAACTGTATCTGCCATTCTCTTTTTCATTCTTGCATTACAAACAGGTCTAACAGGAATGGAACCAGAAAAGAGATTCCTGCGGCTTTACCGGAACATATGCCTTCTCTTTACTGCAATTATGCACTTTGTTCACAACATGGTTAACCCTCTTCTTCTCTCATTGAGTGCCTCCAAAAATACATCCTACAACAAGCATGGTCGTGCTCTCACTGTTTGTGCCTTTCTCATTGTTTTCCCTTGCTGGTTTCTTGCTTATCTGTGGAGCAAACACACTGTAAGCACGTGGCTTCTCGCTGTCTCTGCATTTAGTATTGAAGTTGTGATTAAAGTTGTCATTTCTCTCTTGGTCTATTTACTCTTCATGATTGATGCTTACCGAAACACGTTCTGGGAGAAACTAGACGATTATGTCTACTACATACGTGCAACTGGTAACACCATAGAGTTCATTTTTGGTATTTTTCTTTTCTTCAATGGTGCGTGGATACTACTGTTTGAGTCAGGTGGTACGATCAGAGCTTGTATGATGTGCATTCATGCTTATTTCAACATATGGCTGCAGGCAAAATCTGGGTGGAAGGTTTTCATGAAACGGCAGTCCGCTGTAAAGAAGATTAATTCCTTGCCAGAAGCCTCAGAAGACCAACTGAAAAACTTTGATGATGTTTGTGCTATCTGCTACCAGGAACTAAATAACGCTAGAATAACTCGGTGTAACCACTACTTTCATGGTGTTTGCTTACGAAAATGGCTGTATTTACAGGATATATGTCCACTGTGTCACAAAACCTTATACAATCTAGAATTTGAAGAATCTCACCCAGAAAATGAGAATGAAAACCCTGTTGTAGAAAATGAAATATTACATGAACACCAAGATTAATTAAGGCTAAATTTATAACACCTAAAAATATTTATTTAAAATTTGGTAATTTATAATTTAAAAAAAAATCATTCTTCATCCCATACGTGTAATACTTTTCAAACATTGTTGAAAGTTAACTTTGTACGGAGCTAGCTTCAGCATTATTCTTGCTTTAATTTAGTGTGCATTGTCGTTCTACAGTTTTGTGAATTAAAATCGTACATGTGCAGGTGGTTATTATTTAACCTCGATAAAAACTTGTATGACCATAAATCATAATGTGGCCGGTTTTTACATGGTCATTCTAGGGAATGATTAAAGTTCAAAATTAGAACTTTTATTATTGTTGATACTGGTGGTGTTGTGATCTGGTATATGATTTTTTTTACTTAGTGTTTACTGTATTTCTAGTGATTTTTTTGTCCTTGTAATAGTAAGAAAAGTTATTACACCAGAAGGTAGAAATATATGCTAGTTGTATGTATCATTATTTTAAAATATATTAACTAGAACCATCATTTTGGCAGTTTTTACATAAAACCTAATGCAAGGTTTAAAATGTTTTACAGTTGTTTGTAATTAAAGTTTTCAGAATTTTATGTTGTATATACATATTGAAAATTTAGTGTCAAAAGTCTATTTAACAAGTTTTACTGGGTAATTGAAAAAAAAAAGAATGTTTATCACTATTATCTTTTTATGTTTACATTTGCAAGATTTTTATGTACAACCCACCCATACTGGCTATTAATATATAGATGTAGCTACACTGATGTGTTTGGGTATCTTAGTTTGTACTGGAATAAAACGTACGTTTGGCGATAAGTTACAAAAACATAAATGACAGAAAATCTTGTATATTTCTACCTTCTGGTGTAATACCTTAGATATTCAAAGTATTTTATAAACAAATCACAAGCTAGCTTACCTTACTAACACTAATTTTAACAACATTGTTTTTTTTTTCATTAAGTACAGAAATAACCAAAAAAAATGAAAGGAGTGGAACTGTAGCAAAAAATTTAATATTACTTAGCTCATGCATTACCTTAATTAATTCTTTAAGATGTTTATTTGTTTTGAGAAAGTAATCCGAGTTAGATGTACAAAAGATGGAAACCTTCATGAAGTAACGGTAAATCCATTACGAGATTAGAAATTGTGGATAAAAATACTGTAGAAAAAAGGTTTTAAGCCATGACTTTTAAATAAGGAGTTATTAAATATTGTAAAATCATTCATTGACTATTTGTGCTAAGTGGGTGTTAAATGGTTTGCATTCGTAAGAAACAGGTGGCTGGAAGTTACCTAACTACACTCTAAATTCAGCCAGGCTTTTTACATATGTTCAACAGTCTAGATCTGGAATGTGATGGTGACGTGTTTTCGATTTGACAAGTTTACACAAAAGTAAACTTTTCATTATCTGGTTATATAGAGCTGTTAGTCTCTACTGTGACTTTGTTTGACACAAGTGGTTGTAATGTCTCAGCATTAAGATTCATACATGATATTCTTCTCGTAACAGTAATGCCCTTATTTCCTAGTATATATTAGTTAAAAACCATGCAAGCACTGCATCTAATGAAATGTTTAGAAAGCACCTACTTTGGATGTGCTTACACCTGTTTGGTTTGTGATTCACAGTAGTGGTTAAAGTTAGGTGGTTGTGCTGGCAAGAAAAGAAATAGCAAAAAAGTATTAAATAAATAATAAAGATACTGCTGTAAAACCTGCTACCCACGCATCTTTGAGTTTGTAGAAAAATATATTTTACTTTAGTGTCTACAATTATAGAACAAGTATGTTTCACATCAAGTATGTGATCTTAATTCTTCAGGTACACCAACCTGCCCCCTCACCCTCCAAATCCACAAATACTGGCACCTTTCTTGTTCTTCTTTAAACTCTGGTTCCAAGAAAGTAAAATACAAGTTTCAATTTTTCCTATGATTTCTTCATCCTAAAGATTTTGGCAATACAAACCCAATTTTTATGCAAGTTCTTTTTCTGATGTGAAAAAAAACAACTTAAGTTTTTCTTAAGCTAAAAACTTAATGTATTGTTGTAACATTGTTTATTTCATTGGGCTGGTTCTTTTAAGTTATTTGAGGAAAATAAGGCCAAGTCCAGTCCATGTAATGAAACAGATTAGTTGATTTCTTCCTTAACCTACAGCATGTTATTACTTGTACACAGTTGTACTTGTATGCCCAAATTCACAAATAAAATTTACTCACAGGTTGTACTATGATTAATAATGAAATAAGGTTATTTGTACAATTTCATGCTACTCGGTCGAGTAGCTGAACATTCGCAATAACTGTCATTAATCGAAATACTTCACTGAATATCTGGCACTCTACTAACTGAAAAACTGAATGTTGTTAACCGATTACTGTCCAAATGATAACTTTGTTGTTGTAGGTGAAAACTTACCTTGCTGAATGTCCACTTTTATTTAGATCATAACTGATTAAGGGCTAGTAGGTGTTTCATTACTTTTGTTTTAGTTTGTAGTTAATGGCCATTTATAGCTACTGGTTCACTTAACAAGTGGAGTTATATAGCCACTGACCACTGGAACATCATATAGTTAGTGATTCCACTCAGAGTGAAATTTCATATTCCACCTGCTGAAGTGTTCAGTGGTATGGTAATGTTATGAGGTTACTTCTTTAGTGTGTTAGTGAATACTAATCAAAGTTATGTGGTTAGTTTTCTGTAGTTTATAACTGATATCTACCAAATTATATGGTTATTTTTTTTTAGTTGATAAATGGCCAGACTGTGTGGATACTTTTTATGTAACTAATAAGTATTGATTGGTTACATTGTATTGGACTGCTCTCTTCCTTAGTTGATAAGTACTTACTAGCCAAGTTTTTTTTAGATGACAACTATTTTCTAAGATGCATCCTTATTTTTCTTCAGTTAACAACTGATAACTAACTAGATTGTACTGTTACCTTCTTCATTTGGTAAGTGATCGTTATAGATTGATGCTTTTTTAAGAGGGTGATTGATTACAGGCTACAATGTATTGTCATCTTCTTTAGTTTGTAACTCATCTCAGGCTAGATTGCACAAATGATTGAGTATGTTATATTAAAATGATTTTGAATATACAAATTGGCAAGTCATGTGCCAACCATGACCAGTATAAAGTGACAAATCCACATTTTGAAATTGTCTGGCATTTCATGGGTAGTTAGATACAATTATTTATCATTTTTGGGAAGACTATGTAACGTAAAATATTCAAACATTCAAATCATAGGACTGAAATATCTCTCATAATTCAAATCAAACGAACGTGAATGATACTTCCAATATGTACCCCATCCCTAGTAAGCACAGTGTGACATCTTTTAAAAGGTGAGAGTCTATGAAAACAAAGGTCGGTGGTAAAAGCCTTCCACATGTCTTGGGCAACAGTAAGCAAAATAATCCAGGAAAATCACCCCACCAATAAAACATGAGGATAACTTCACGTGCTTCAGTTAGCTCGTGAGTGGGGGCTTGAACATAAATTTAAACAATTATGCTTTCTGGAATTTGGGGGGGGGGGGCAAAATCCTATACCAGTTTTAGAGTCTAGCAAACCTGAGAACTCCCATCTTGACAAGGTGACCTTCCTGGCACACTTTGGCCTACCTTAGTACCCCAAATAAACAAGTGTAAGGATACCTTCCAGAGTCCACCTGCTGATGTTTGGTTTTTCTAACTCCCAAACTGTGAGAGAAATCTGTGGACAAACTATCACAACATGCATTAATATAGGATATTATTGTATAATACTCAGTTTAACAACTTGTTTGTTTTAAAGATAGTTAGAATTATAATAAAAATTACTCAGCTTATGGATGTTAGAATTAAATTAGTAGTTACTTGACTGTGACATTCTCATAGACAGCCTGTAGTTTAAACGGAATATATATTCTTATCCATGGTAAATATTATTAAGTTGTTATAGAGAGCAGTACAAATAAACTGTAGCATTACTGTAGTTAACTATCAGATTTTTTATAAAAGTGAAATATTCCCATAGCAAAATAAATGTTTTTTATAAATTTGTGGAATTAAAAATTTTTAATATTATGGTAAAAAAAATTAAAATACAAGCATTTTCTAATACAGCTTTCGCAAGGGAGTCAAGTTTTTTCTCTTGCGCATTAGAAAAAACGTACGATATTTTTCATATAAGGTGCTGTTTATATTAGTTCTGGACTTAAAGAATGTGCATTACATTTAGAACTTTAAAATATGTTACTTGTACTGTAATGCACATGTTCTCAGATATTACTAATAACTAAGGGTGGATAGACTTAGCCTATATGGTAAAACACTTTAATCAAGTTAAGTGTTTGGAGTGAAAGAATATAGATATGTATGTATAAAACCAGTAATTTGTTGTTTTTTTTTATACTTCTCATACAAATAAAATTTGCCATTCATCTCCATTGTTTGTAACTGAAAAATAACAGTTTGTTAATTGTAAATAAACTCATTGTCATCATGTTGTGTTTTATACTTTTTTTTTAAACATGTCTGAACAGGTTGACCTTAGAGCACAATAATAAAGGAAGTTAGTAATACTAATTACAATGTACTTTACACAAAAATACCATTACTTATGTTGTACATTTCTTCTCCTGGAATATGATTGACTTTTTAAAGCTCCCTTACTACTTTGTTTCAGTTACAACAGATGTCGCTACTGTTCCTATCTGTAGATTAAGACTTTATCCCCATTCTTCTCAAAATTTTGTTTTACAAACCTGTTTAGGGTTGAAGCTTATGTATAACAGTATAGTTTTTTTTATGCACACCAAAAGTGTAAATTTTCCATGGTAGATCCATTAAATATTAAAAATAAAAAGAATTGGTTAAGTAATTTCTGACTAATGCAGATATATATAAATAACAATACAGGAGAAAGATAAGTTATTTCCAGGCATCTTTTTTATTTTGTTTTTAAGATAGCTTAATACATTTTCAAGCACATTTAAACAGTGGGACTGCTGCTTTTATATGTTTACACTAGACTAAGACATGGAACTTTGTTAGTCAACTTGTAATTTCCGATTACGTAAACTATTTTAGGCCAATTTCTAAGTAGAGTTCTCCTCTCTCATGTCTTCAGATGATAATCACACACATGCTTATTGTCTAGTAGCTATTAAAATAATTTTATTTCAGCAACATGTTATGTTTCACCACAGTTTTAAAAGTTAGAAATTCATATTTGTGTAATAAACTACAAAGCTTCATTCTATTAAGGGAGCACGCTCTGCCAACTTGAGTATTAGATAATTTGTTAATAATTAATTTCTATTTCAAAAGATAATATTGAAAAACTGTGTACTGTAACTCGGGTGGCCTAATGGGCTCTGGTATTGAGCAAGAGGCATTAGCAGTGTAGTTTAAACGCTATTAGCAGGGCTCCAAATCTTATACACCATAAATTTAAAATCATGCATCAATGTCTAGAAATTCAGACTTTATGCACTCAAACATACATTTTGCCAGCTTAGGCACTATACACCATTATGCCAACCAATTTCAAGACAGTATCAGTTATTCACAATAATAACTACAAACTGAAACTTATTACCACTGAAAAATTTATTGAAATATAAAAACAACAATAAAGACTGACACGGGATGAAAGATTTTCATTTAACACATCAATTGAAATCCACAATATATATTGATATCCTTTCCTGTCAGCCAACCCGATCTAAGGCTTCTAGTAAGACAATACTGTTACCCCGAACAACCTGTAAAATATACAGTTAATTGAGATTATCAATCACTAACTCACACAGAGTGACAATAAAAAAACGAAAAAATATTTCTCTGCACATACCATTTTATGAAATACGAACACATCGAATTGCAAACTTTAATGAAATCCCAAAGAAAGAAAAAAGCAATTAAAATTGCATATTAACAACTCATAAATATATCAAGATAGGAACCATACCCTAATTTTGTCCAACAAATGTAAAGCGTTTTACATGTGATACAGTCTACATTACTCTGCTAATATCGGTCAATTTTGTTTTAGATTCACCTAGTTTAAATGGTAACTACTGTTCTTTGATCAGATATTAATGGGGAAAAAATCAAATAAACCCAATTACGACAATTTCAACAAAATATACACCTTCACCACTCCCACACTACCAGAGGATTTTAACCATTGTGAAGATATATTAATATATGTCATTACAAGATTTTATAAATACAGAATTATTTCTCTTATTACATATGAGTAATCATTTTATTAAAGAGAGAAAGTTTATCTATAAGTCAAAACTTTTATAAGCACATAAAAATGATTTATTGGATTTTAAATAAATATTTGTCACACTACTATATGTTTTAAGTTTTTCTCCCCACTGAACTTTAGTGGATAAAATAATCTCTACTGTCAGCATAAAGGCTTCTAATTTTTGTGCTACGTTCTAAAATTAACAACAAAAGACACAAGCTTAAGATTGAAAAAAGTGAAGCTAGGCTCAAGTTACAGGATGACTGGCTTATAAAATGAGTTTCTAGATGAATTATGAAGTCTGGAACTTTACAAGAGGGGAATCAATGATCTGAAAAATAAAGGGTGGGTTTCAATGTTTATTTTTTAAAGAGTGGGTGTACAAGAATTAAACATTATTTTCCAATACAGATGTTGACATCTGGCTTTAGAACTATAAAATTCCAGTCTATTATTACCATATAATGCTTGGAGACAGCTTGAATGGGTAATGAAGAAAAACTTTAATATAACAACAAATTTACAACGTTTCAACAAGGTTTTGTCATTACCCATTCAAGCCGTCTCCAAGGATTATTAGTCTCAAAGTTGATTCCTCGTCATCGATTTCGAAATTGTTACCATATATTCAATACTTTGTTACACTGGAATATGGCATTCCTATATTTATTTTATGTAAAAGCCAACTAGTATTACTCGGAGCTTGCAATTAAAGCCTTTTATTATTAAAACAGTGCTACAACCTATGAGAACACATTTTTTTGTGAGACAGTGGCCTCGGTGGTTCAGTTTATTTTCTATCATCTTGTACTTTCTTATTTATATCCTGAAATAACTGAAGACACAAATATCTCAACAGATATCTACTTACGATCATTCCTATGTTATGCTTTTCTCCACCTTTAGTTTCTTCAACAGCTTCATCAATAACGAGGTTCATGAAAGGATCAAACCCTCGTAGAATACCAGTTACGGTTCTGGCTCCATTAAGCCTCACTAAACATGAAAAATTTTAGCTATACATATAAACTTGATAGAAATTGTTTAAAATACTTTATATTTTTACCACCTAACTATGAGATTCATTTAAAAAATTCAAGTTTATCTTAAAAAAAAACTTGTGAACATCCGAGTTTGCTACGTTGTCACAGTTTTTCCTTCCTTACGAACATAAGTCCGTGTTACAGTACGAATACAGAATCTAGATTAGTATCATCATAGTTTTACAGATAGGCTTTTAATTTTAGTTCCATCAACAATATGTACAAGTTATATCCTGGATCATTTTTTCTAAGTCTAACACTATCCATGGTAGACTTATTTTTAACAATATGAAAAGTATATTTCACTTATATCCAAGGGACTAGCTCCTTCATAAACAAACTATTAATTAAGTAATAATGATGTAATTTTGGTTATACAAAGTCCTTTCATATCTAACATGTGCCTAAAGTTATATGGCTGTGCTGTTATATTTAAACCAAGTTTCTCTTGACCTTCCCATTTTTACTTTTACCAAATAAAAATTGTAATTATGAGCTATATTAGCTCTTTTCAGCTCATTTTATCCAATGTTTTCCACAAGAGCTTAGGAAGGACAGCCTCATACACATTACGATCTTTGGTTGGTTATGTCATAGAATTTATTCAATATATGATAATGTTGTTAAAGTAATAGCACACTCGCATGTACAGAATACTTTAAATGCTCACAGATGTGCTAACCCCCTCTTTATTATCATAAGACTGCTCTACTACCAAAACTCCATGTTACTAACCCTCTTTGATGACAGGATGTTTTATTCAAATACGCTAGTTTTTGCTACATCTTTGATGAACGTGTCACGATGTCCCTATGTGAATTTCTCAATACATTTCTTTATATTTTCACACCATTTGTCACTGACAGCGAGTGAAAATGTTAGCTATACTTGTAATAAGCAAAGTGAAAATGAATATAGTGTAGCCAGAGATCTAAAACATTGTACTGTATAACTACACATCTAGATTGCTCTGGTTCATGTACTTGTAAGATGTGTTGGATGTTAGATAATTTGCTATTTTAAAACACAAAAGTATTGATTTGGTCACAAAATAATTTAATAGATGCAATAAAATTACCATTTTATAGAAACTTGAGTGATAAACAAAATCTCTTCTAACCTTTCCCCTCATTCAACTAATACAAATTATTTTTCAACGGTGATTTTAAATACATACTGGTGAATAACATCTTGCCTGCTAATGGCTCAACAGTAGCTTAAGGGCATGCAATGCTAGAGTTTGAGGTTCAATTCCTGCACTAGGTACAGTTCGTATAATCCCATTGTGCAGCTTTGTACTTAACAACAAACAAATGAAAAATACGGTTAACTCTTATTGCAATCACAATAATACAATAAGAAAAAAATTTTAATTAGACAAGAGTGTCAGTAATTTCTCAAACTAAATACCACCAAGTATTGAAATGATGTTACATAATTAGTAGCTTAACAATAAAATCTCCCATATTTAAGATATAGGGAAACAATTTATACAATATTACCACAATACTTTTCATCAATGCTACCATATTTCAGTTAATCATTAGAAAAACTGGGTGTATTTTATAATTTATAAATTCAGCCCCCCCCCCCCAAACAAAATTCAGTGTTGTTTAACAAATTACAAAAACAAACTTAGATTTCAGGAACTGTTTGATTAAAACGTCCAAGATTAACTGATGGATCAGGTGGCTATTTGTTACACATTGGCTCCGATTTTCTTACAAATATAACAGAAACAACCATCTTGATTGAATGAATAATCAGAGGCAAAATAAATCTTTTATGGCTTGCACATCAACAAACTTATGGTACAACAAATTAATCCTTTAAATAACAATTGTCTCTGCATTATTGACTATGGATAAAAATACTTACACGATAATTTTTTGTCCATGTACCTAGAAAAAAAAAAAAAGTTTTAAAACTATATTTTATTACATTGCTGTGGTTAAACAAAATGAATAATTCTGATTTAATATTAAGCACTGCTTTTATTTATTTATTTTTTAAAATGCATGTTTCTTTTAAATCAAATATATTTTTCTAGGTATAATAGAAACACAAGTCGAGAATTTCCAAATGTTTCAATAGAATATTCAGCAGCACTCCACCAGGAAGTACGTGTAACATTTTAACAGTTACTTCAATTATCACACTCAATGATTACTACATTATTACATACTCAATGATTACTCGTACACTGACAAAACAGTCAATTCTATATTGAAAATTACAAAATCTAAAGTAAAACTATTTTGGTGCTACGTATGTGGTGGGCTATACCTAAGTTTAATGAAGGTTTTCTTTCAGCTCACTTATTTTGCAGTGTGCGAAACATTATGAGTTGAATCATCTCAAGGAGAATAAAATGTCAACAAGGAGTGAAAATCCCATACCAATTTTCACATACTTGTATATGTTTTATAAAACTTCCAATATACAACACAAAATCACAATTTGTTGACTGTGCACATCTAGAGAGTTCATAAACACAGTATTAACTTGTTTAATGGAAGCATATTATGCTAATATAATAGTAAATTGACAATGATTTATAAGCATAATGAAGTGGTATATTTTTTGGGAACATATTACACTGGTCTGTCTTCTTCAGGTACCAGAAGAAATGAAATTTTAGGTTCTGGTTTCAGAAAGCCAATTTTGTGGCTATACGATAAAACAATCACTACAAATTGAGAAAATTAGTTGAAAAGTGGTTCAAATGTGGAAAATTGTTTAGCATAACCTGCCTTTATGTTAAGTCTTTTTGCAAAAGTCAAGAAAAGGATAAAAAGGAAGATCAAACTTATATGGCTAACTGAGTATAAAGAAGAAAAACAGTGATAAGTATTGTAAGTTTAAATTCACAAACGGGCTGGAAGAATTACACATCTAAAGGAAAGATAGAGATTTGGTTAAAGAAATTATGAAATAAAAATGGTTTAAAAATAACAGCTGCTTAATAATGTTGAAATAGCAAAATTTTACTAAGTAAACTTATATTAAAATGGGGATTGGGCTCTTAAAGGAAGCTGAAGGCAAAGATTCTGTTGAACTTCTAGACTTTGACTATGAGACAGTTGAACATTTTAAGTTTTGTTTCAGTTTCCACCAAAGAAGACTTAATATTCCTGAGTCTGAACATTCTATGGGATACATGGGAATTGTTTTGGTAGATCAAAAGACAATGGACAGGTGCCTGAGGATTAAGAGTTGTTAATCTTAATTTTTAAAAGAGTTACCTTAGCAATTAAGGGTCAGTTAGTCTTAGGTCTATAGTGATAAAATTTCTATAAAGGCCGATAAAAGACGTTCTGCAAAAGCCATTTAATTAAATAAGAATCCGTTATCATAAAATTAAAAAGCAAACATGGATTCACTAAAGGGAAACCTTGCCTTACAAATCTGTTACTTATAATCTCAATGATACGAAAGTTGAAGATTTGGTATACTTAGATAATGTGCCACACAGAAATTAGTTACAAAACCAAACGATGGTTGGACAAAGATTAGTTCACTGTATCGAAAGTTGACAGAGAATGAAAGAAATCGGAAACTGATTATAATTATAAAGTCCAGTAAAACTATTGTTATAACTCAGGGATCAGTGTTAGACTCATGTTTTTTACATAATATCGATATAATTGAAAAAAAAATCATCGTTTGATGAGGGGTGGGGGTAATTACTAACTAGAAGGATTCAACTTTCTTCAAGGGAAACAAAGCGACACAAGTTTAGCTTTTAATTTTATTAAGCTACGATAACATCTCCGATCTATTTGTACTGTAACATTAGGCCTAGCATTACATAAGAAAACTAAAGACAAAATTTTAAATAATATTTCTATAATTTGTGTGTGTATGTCATAGATATACCTTAGTTATTTAATAAAACAAAAATTTTAGCTTACCTTTTAAGTTCTGGTGGGTGAGCCTTACTCATTGTGAAGATATCTTAAGCCTATTGTTTTATATCTACTCACGCTTTCTAACCACCGAACGCTTTTTAAGTCAAGACTCACGAGCGGCAGATATAATGAATGAAAGCTGCGACCTCTGCCGTTTTATAACATTACAATTATTTTTATTATTATCCTCAACAATGCGAATCACTAAATAAATAGCTTAACAATAAAGCTAAGGATTAATATAACGAATCAATATCTTCCTAATAACAATTGGTAAATTTAGGGAAAAATGGCGTTTCTCTGTCTAGAAATCTCTTACCAGCGAATACATTGATGATAATCCCACCAAAAATAATATTAATTTCCTCCAATTAGCAAACAATTTTTACAGACTCCGTAATGGAAGAGATTCTTTCTGGACTGTTGTTTTTCATGAAACATGCTTCACACTTCGACGCGATAGATTTTACGGATTGTTGTTGCACTGTCAACTGAAAACAAATAGATAAGTTATAATAACTGAATTTATAAACTTCTCATCTTGAATAATTTGTCACAGAAAACAAATTCAAGCTAAGTATTAAAATTGAGTAAATCGCTTATAATTAACTAAAAATAACTCCTTAGTAGCAGGTCAAGATAATTTTAAATCACTATAGTTGTTAAGGTTTACTTTGAAAAAATTGTTACTAGACTTGAAATGATTATATGTGTGTGTATGTATTATCATACCATGTATTTTCTACCTTATTATAAATATAGCATCATTCTAAATTTATCAGTTATTCTGAGTATGTATAGTTTCACATAACACGGGGTCAAGAAATACGTTAATTGATTTCTTTCTTGCTGCCTTTGTTACTTTGTCATTCTAGTCAAGTCGCATGTTCTGCCCCTGGAAGTATTAGCTGTAATGCTACACATTGTGTTCTTATGTCAACATTGTCATGATATAAAAAAAAACTGTTTAGTTTAGATATTATTGATTCATTTATTTTTGTGAGTGAATATTTCATTATTGTTTACTTTTTATTTTAATAAAAGTTAAAAGTAGACAAATGTAGAAAGTTATGTTAATAATTCACTGATGTTGAGACTATTGAATGTCGCGTGCATTGATGTCGAGAATATAGAAGTCGGACAGATGGTTAGGTGATAAAGATATAAATAACGTGAGACTAGCGGAAAGCAGCAGATAGATAATAGCAGAAGAAAGTAAAATTACAAAAAGTAAAGTTAACTGCCGTAGAAGTGATAGGCCTAACGTTTAATATGTTTAGAGTAAGACTAACAGTAGAAAAGAAGATAAGAAAAATAATTTATTCTGTCAGAGCGAAATTCTAAAGTAATTTAATCATCTTGAGTGCACTTTGACAAAAGGAACAGAGGATCTTCTAAAGAAGGAACACCAAACAGTTACGATAACTCACGCCACAATTGTAAGCGAATCAGACTCAGAATACTAGTGCGATAGTAATAGAGAAGATAGTTCCGCTTGTCAACTTAAATTCTAAAGTAATTGAATAGGCCTAAGTGGACTTTTGACAGGAAGAAAAGAACTACACATATAGTGTCATTGATATGCCTATAAGTGTGAAGAATTTGTTGTAAATAGGTTTAAACTGTTCCGAATATATATATATATATATATATCTACTATTTTGAAAACAAGTGAAGTGCGTGCCGTTTATTCATCGTTGAATTTATCACTAACAAGTCACAGACACCTACTGTAGAAGAATCCTAAGCCCAACAACAACAACATAGTAAATACTCAAAGTATTAAAAAAAAAGTAAAAGCCTTTTATTTTGAGAATTGGCGAAAAATTATGTTTTAAATTCTGACAGACATTAATGATTAATGTCCTTCAATGGTAATTCAGGTGGTATCCCGAGATTAGGGTCTCTGCTATGTTTGAATGATAATAACCATTTACTTGGTTAGTGTTAATCACTGGGTCTGTCTGACGTCATCTGTGAATTAAGGAATGTTTAGTTTAAAGAGTCTGGTAGATAGTCTTGGATTAGTCAGTTTCGAACAAAAAATAGTCCCGATCCAGTAGAAGTGACAGTCTATCGTCGAAACAAGTACATACTCTGCGTTTATGTGCCATTTTATCATAAAGATTGTGGTTTTTGTATTTTACATTGTGTTCACTCTTTTTATTTCATTTTCACAAACTCAAGTGTTCATAGAAACACATTATTACTCTGTAATAGAAATGTAGTAGATTCTCCTGTTATCCAGCAGGCCTGTTCAATTGCTATAGAAATAATCAGGTTATTATACATGAATATACCACATACATATTATTATTAAAATGCAGATAAACATTTCACAATGTAAACCAGTTAGGGGACATAACATGTATAGCGATTAGATTGTGTTAATTCATAATTTGGATATTGTGTTTTTTGGTCAAAATACTATTGATATTTCAAAGCACTTGGACATAATATGACGTTTGGATTAGGTCCAAAATTTATAAAGTCAACAAAACTGCAAAGTACCGAGTAATTACATTAAATATACACTCATGTTTTTTTTTTAAATTTCAACGAAAATGATAAATTCAACCATGTTAACATTTACATAGCACATGAGCTACACTCTTTATAAGCACAAAACCTTCTAATACACAAAAAATCAATACATTTAAACAGTGTTTTTTATAACTTTGATGCCAGTTTTTTTAGATGTCGCATATTCATTGCAGAAACTAAATAGTTTGCTGTGAGCTATATTGATATTTCACACTTGTTAAATTAAAGTTAGATTAGGATCTTATCGTTTGCTATGTAGTTGGGGATAACATAGTCTACTGTCTAGGGTTACTGGTTTGATCGGCGACGTGCTGCTGACGACATTCCACACTTTCAGTTGTTGTGGAGTTATAACTGTTACATCAATCCCACCATTTAGTTGAAAGTAGTCGAATTATGGAGAGTTCTGCTAATTGGTATCCTCCCCCTCTTGTTAGTAGTTCTAAATTAGGGATGGCTATGCTTGAAGCTAAAGTGTCTCGACCTTTAGCCCAAGTACTGGTACAGGCAAGTTGCCATTCAGGCTTAAAATACTATATATCATTCAACTCTGATTAAATAACTTATGTTTAGCAATGGTATTATTATTTGCTTTATGTGATCAGAGTCCCGGGCATGAAAAATCTCTAGAATACAGCTGTGGCGGATGTTTCTTTTTTTTTCCACATTGCATTTTTGTTGATTTCCGAGCCCATGAGCTGGAGAATTAAAAAGCCCGTTTTGCGAAGTCTATTCTTTTATACAATTCTTATGCGGGTGTAATTATAAATTTTAATGAAAAAGAGAACCTTTTACTGTTGTCAAACAAATGCATCATTTGTGCCATTTCCAGAACCTTCTATTGATGTCAAACAAATGCATCAATTGTGCCATTTTCAGAACCTTTTATTGATGTCAAACAAATTCATCAGTTGTGCCATTTCCAGAAACTTTTATTGATGTCCAACAAATGCATCAGTTGTGCCATTTTCACAGCCTTTTATTTATGTCAAACAAATTCATCAGTTGTGCCATTTTTAGAACCTTTTATTGATGTCAAACAAATTAATCAGTTGTGCCATTTACATTTTTTTCTATGTCAAACAAATGCATCAGTTATATCACTTACACAGCTTTTTTAATATCAATCTGCGCTTTGTCTACCACGTGGATTCAAACCACGTAAACTTACCGTTGACCTACCGGGGGATATTCTAATAATTACACTCTTTCCTTGACATTCCCTTCAACTGCAGTGAAGGAGAAATTATAGTTATTAATTACTTTATATATAGCTAATCTATATTTCTTTTTATAGCTTGGTTGTTATCAAATGCAAAGTTACACAACGGACTATCTGTGCTCTGCCCACCACAGGTATCAAAACCGATTTGTAGCGCCGTAAGCCTGCAGACTTACCGCCGAGTTAATGGGGAGGGGGGGGGGGGGTTATTTATGGCAAAGCTTATCTCTAATTTTTAACCAATTACTGATCAGAGGGAAGACAACCAGTCAGTAACATTCTAAGGGATGTAGTCATTTTTATAACATACCCACATCTTAAGACACGGGAAATATTTTGTGGTATTGCAAGGATTCAAACCCGGAGCTCTACCTCGGAGCGAACCAGCGCCTGTAGTTAATCTTATATGCCAGTCTAAGTATATGCGTCCTCAAGCTGTAACACTGTAAGCTATTTCTTCCTGGACAATGTTTGTTCTATACCACTAGGTTCAAGATATCCGAACACAAGTTGTCGTTGGTGAAGTCACAAACATAAGCTCGAGCTTAACATAAGTATAAACCTACTCTTTGTGCTTTATTATATTTTTAAAATACGGAAGAGTTGAGTTCGTTTGTTTTTAAGCACAAAGGGCTATCTGTGCTCTGCCGACCACGGGTATCGAAACCAGGTTTCTAGCGTTGCGAGTCCGCAGACATACCGTTTTGCCACAATGGTGATGGTATCGAATCCACTGTGCACCTGACAATGTTCATCCTACCACACGAAAGATGCAGTTTTGTAGCATGTTTTTAAGAGACGTAACGTTTTGTGCACGTGAGCTGAATGATTAGGCCAAAAGACCCCTAGGATTCAGGTACGACCATCCCTAATTTTGATCTACTGACTCGTGGGAAGTGACTAACCAGCAGTACCTATCGCGACGGTGGCACTTTAAATGGAATAACGGGATCATACGTCACTTTTATAATGCTCCCACAGATGAAAGTGTTCAGAATCCTTGCCTATCTGGTACATAGCCAAACACGCTAATCATTAGGCTATGCTCGCCAAGAACGGTTATTATACGTAATGACAGACATATATGTATATCTGGAAGTGTATGTGAACGTTTTAGATCACAGTTCAATGTTTGATGACGAGGAATCAAACTTTTAGAAAATAGAGTTTGGAGACGTCTTGACGTCACTACCCTTTCAAGCCGTTTCCAAACTTTTAAAGTAACACGTTGTCGTGTGTCATAAAACTTTTACGATATTCATGACGTACGTGCGTGGTTTAGATTTCATTGACAGAGGTTTTAAACGTGTGAAATATACACATAACGTATCTTAATTAAATCCTCGTGTAGTTTAATTTATATTGTTTACAAACAAATAACACAAGAAACGGACAGAATGGGTCATTTGGCTATTCATCCCCGTCCCTGTACACCCAAGTAAAATTTTAAACCCACCCTTTATTAATAGTTGATTACACTCTTTTAAACTCCCATAAAGTGCTTGACCCCCTCTAACGCTGACGACAACTCATTCAACAAATCAATTTCTACGTTATGGAAATAAAGGAGCCTTAACTGGAGCCTAGCCTGTCTTTTCCAAACTTTAAACTCGTGTCCTCTTATTTTATTATCTTTAGAATATAATTGATAGATATTTTTTTGTCGTTATTGCAACTTTCATTTATACCGTAAAGCTACAATAACATAAATTATTATTTTGATTCAAACGGACTCAATTTTACAAAGTGGACAACCAACCATCAGAACTCCATGAAAATGCACGCCTGCGAAATACGGCATGACATGTCCATTACTTTACGCTTTATTTTTGAAGTGGCTGACTAATGATCAATTTACTCTGGTTACTTTATAAATGTTAAGTGGTGGAACAGTTGATCCTTGTTGTTTAGTTGGGAATGGTGGTGTGTGTCCTGTTATAACTGTTCTTTCATAAGCATAAAGATACACTTAAAGACGAACCTAACGATGGACGTGCAGATTTATGAACACCAATGAGTGCTGGCTTTTGTGAATTTAAACAAATGTTTTAATTTTAATAATTCGGGTTTTACAATACATTTTAATTGTACTCGTAAACTTACACACCCAAAACGTACTAAGTTTTGAATTTGACATCACGTTCTACAGTAAGTGGTAATAAAATAGTAAAATTCCCGAGAAATTAATGTTGAAAAACTTCATTAGTATTTATGTTTATAGTTTACAAATTTTTTTCACAAATTAGTACTACGATAATCTATTGAAAGAATGTTTTCTGTAAGTCTTAAACAAGGAAGCACACAAACATTAGTAGATCGATATGTAATTAAATCACATAGTATTTACGATCATTCTGAAAGACACAAGAGATGGTACCGTTATATAATTTGATGTCATTTCTCTTCGAAATTTTAATTCGTCAATCCGTCTTTATGAAAACTAGTTTCCTGTCTCCAACAAGTAATCTTATTTAAAGAGGAAAAGCAAAACTATTAAATGAAAGATGTTTGTATCGCTATTAAGTTAACAGTGAACACTTCAAGTTCATAAACTTCAATAACCAAAAATAAGTCAAGATTACTATTAATAAAATATTCGGAGTGAGTAAAAGAGGAGAAGATAATAATATGTCAAACACACTATATACCTGCTATATCCAGTGTTGATAAGGCCTTTCCCACAATATTAGGGCTACTCCGGCCAGAGATGTATGTAGTAGTGGTTGATACACTATTTATATATATTTGTAAATTCCTCGAGAACAACTATTATAGTGTGAACTGGGTTTTAGAATTAAAATGATTCAAGTTACCACTTAGTTCATCCCATTATGAAACAAATTTGTGGACTGAAGATTTCAATATTTTGGTATATAACTGTTTATATGGGCGTCAGGGGGGTGGGGAGACTAACACTAACCCCCCCCCCCGAAAAATGAGAAACATAATTCTTTCTTTATTCATTCAGCGTGTGTGTATGCATTTTCTTATTCAAGTCACAATTTCACACTACATTGCCCCCCCCCCCACTTCCTGGAAAACTTTACCCCTCCCTGGAAAAATTTCTGTGAACGCCCATGACTGTTTAACACAACTTGACCTTCCCATACTGACTGAAAAATAGTGAAAACGTGTACAGACATAAAATATTAACTCCAAGAAGCATTTAAGTTAATTTCTAGGTGTTGCAAGAAGGAGTTTAGTCTTTTTTTTTTAATGAAATAATTTTGCTGGTTGACAACAGAGTTATTTAACTTCAAGGGACATATTTCAATAATAAAAAGACAAAAATCAATCAGGAATGTAAAAGTGCTAAATTTATTATTTACTTCCACCAAATTGTTTGATTAATTCACACATGACAATGATAAAAGATTAGGTGACACAGGGAGAAGGGCCAGTTACTACACAACTATACTAAAATCTAAAATTTTCCATCCAAATAAACATTTATTGTTACAACTAACAAGGAAAGCTTGTCACAAAAAGCAAAAACTTTCTTTATGCAAAAAACAATAACCAAAAAATTAAACAAAAACTGAAACCATAACGCTGTTCTGTGGCCATATGAAAGCATATGACATAAAAACATCAACTAATAAACAGTTGAGTAAAAACATACATATACTGACACTAATTATAAAACTAAACTCAAAGAATAAGAATTACCTAAAATAAAACATAATTGTAAAAAGAGGCACTGCGGAAAAAATAATGCAACCATGTCAGAGGGAAGCTCATAGTATTTTTTTTTTTCAATTCTTAATTATACCACATGGACCAATACTCAGCCTCAACAACAAGGTTAGACATAAAACTGGGAAGTTATTAATAACAGTCAATATTATTAATGTTCTACATGAAAACTTCATACATGATGTACCTATATCCCTTGCCAAAACCTGGAACGGTGAACTAGATTGGAATGATACTCTCACGATATGTAGAACTTGCGGTACAAGGCAAGGAAATGATACAAAAAGAAAAAAAAAAAAGGACTCTTCTCTTTCCTTCCAAATAAAAATAGATGATTAAATGCCATCTTCAGGAGAGTTTTATAAAAATTTACCTTCTATTTGGATAATAAACAGCATGAATAACCAAAGTTAACATTCTCCAAACTTAAATGATAAAATATAGAACAAAGTTGGTGTTTTATAGTCCCCTTCATCATTTTTTAACAGATTCTATCAAAATAAATAGCTTAAAAAAATTACACTTCTGATTCTTAACTTAACTCAGATAATTTTATTATAATACTGTTAAAAGAGCCATGACAAACTGAAACTAGAAATACAACCACCACTCTTCAGTCTCTGTATTATACAACCTACAGACAAATCTGATTCTCACATATTGATACTACTTTAACAAGTTAATAAAAATTGTTATGTAACGTCCCAAAAAATTGCAGCAAGACAAAGTTTTGATTTTAAAACAAGCTTGACAGTAGTCTTGAAGCCCAACTTCTTATCTTTAAAAATGTTTTCAAGACAAGCTGCAGACCAATAAACACAGATGACTGACTGTCATAGTATACAATGAATGCAAGGAATAAGTGTGAATAACAGAACTCTGTTACACAAAAAGAAATAATCATTCATCTTCTAGCTTCCTACAGCATATCATCACTAAATCTTAAAATCATTTGTCTTACTTAAACCCCTGATTTGGTAGATGGCAGCTACTGGTTTAACATTTTGTCAACTACTCAAGGAACTATTTACATACCACATTAAAGCTTCATCACTGTATGAATAGCAATGCTATGATAACTGATAACAAGCTTTAAAATATTTGTGATGTCAATATGATATGAAAACAAAGAGGAAAGGAAAGAGATGGACCAGCATAACTTGAACATTAAAAATTCAGTTTGCATTTCATGAAAGTAAATCCTGTTTTGTCTTCTTCTAAATACACACACACACACTCACACACGCAAATAGTCTGGGCACAAGCCAAACGAAACACACAACATAACTGTCGTCGCAGAGATTTCTAGATAACGAGTATAATATGCAGAGATAACCTGATTTGCATCTTCCACTCTGTGAAAGCTTTAAGATTTTTCCATTTCAGCTTTCAAATTTTATCATCACATACAATAGGTACTCTATTCTGACAAAGAGCTGAATGAAAATTTGGGCAACTGACGTGAGGTAATAGTTTTCTTCTGTAAGCTCTTCATATGTCTCAACTTTTTTATTAATGGATTTATAAAGAAATGGACAGTTTTTTTTTTATATTAAAAAATTTAGACAGTGTACCCACTTACCTAACAATTGACAGAAAAGGGCTGAACGAGCGAGGGAAAAAAAAAAATGGTTGGTGTGAAACATGAATGAAATAAAGTGCAACGATCTGGACCACATGTATTATATCCACACATGCACACAAATGTACTTGCACGCACGCACATACACATACTCTACAAGGGTAATGCTTTTCTATGGCCACAGCACTGGAGGGTTTCGGACATTTTTGGCATTACCAGAAAAAGGGAGGTTTTTTTTTGTTCATTTTTTGACTCTCCCAAGGTCTATACATGCATCAGAAATGGTGGCTTGATGGCACGGATGATGCCACTAGTGAACCTCGGAGCTCTCTGGCTTCACAGGTAGGTGGTTAGGTGTGTCTTGGAGGGTGGAGTGGGGTGTTGAATGAGAGGTGGGGATGGCAGAGGTGGATAAGGGCTCTAGAGTAGTTGAGTGGGCCACACTCAAAGGGTTGTAGTTGTAACCTGTGGCTCCATTGATGGTTTCTCCAAACCCACTGCTACCAAAGTATCCTTTGTTGACACAGTTACGTAATGATTCAGGAATGCGACCCACAATGGCTCTTCGTATCTCAGAAGCTGCCATTTCTCGAAGTTCAGTGGAACTTGCATCACTATACCATGCAGCATGTGGCGTACACATGAGGTTTGGTGCATCCTTCAGAGGCCCTGATGTGAAAAAGTCAAGTTAAAAAATAACAAAATAACCGTGAAAAAAAAAGTGTTAAAAAATTAATTTATACGAAGCCTACCAGAAATGT